TTATGATTTTGCCCTGCATTTTGGTGACACGACAGCAACATATACTTAGTTTTTTTCTGTTTTTACTTCCAGACCAATCTCCTTACTTGGGTCAATTAAAGTTTGTGTGTTTTCTTTATGGTATCTATATTATCACCCAGTAGATTCACATCATAGGCATAGACCAACAGCTGATGTGTCCCATTTAATTTCAGTCCCACCTGATTTTCCTGGACCTTCATAATGGCATATTCTAAAGCAGCACTGAAAAGGTGTGGCAATAAAGCATCTTCATGTTTTAGACCATCTCTGTCCAACGCGACGCCCAAGGTATATTTTTCTGGCACCCTCCGTAACCACATATAATTGAGCCGATTTTTAATATTAATTCAAATTGTAAGACAAGAGACATTTTTGAACGTCTGAGTACTGTTCAATATTTTCAAAAAATATTATTATTAGTAGTAGTAGTAGTAGTAGAAGTACTAGTAGTAGCAGTAGTGTGTGGTGGCGCCTGCATCTCCATACGCATCAGTGAATTGTGCCCGAGTACATAAGTACATGGCTATCCCAAACTCTATCAGAATATCCATATGACTATACATCACTCAAAATTATAAATTATATTACATATTAGAAGAGGGCATGCAGTAGCATAGCGGTTAAGACACTATGCTACAAGTTGGAAGGTCACAGGTTCAAATACCAATGAGGTCACTGGATTTTTTTCAATTGACCTAATCCTTCCAGGTTCACTCTGCCTCTAACAGAAATAAATAATTTTCCTGGGGAGTAAAGCGCGTAAGGCTGACAACCTTACCGCCATCTTTGAGCCGATTGTCTAGATAATGTGGGACCCTCAACATCTCACAACCCTATGGGCCTTCATGGCCTGTTACAGGGATAGCTTTACCTTTTTACATATCAGAACATCTATAATTTATTTTCAGGTGCACATAATTAAAACAACACAGGCTCCCTGAATACCCGTCTGCCCCGCAATATATCACCATAGACCATCAAAATTTTAATTACATTTTACTTTTAACATTTTAACTTCTGAGTTATAAGCTTTATATTTTAATATTAATATTGAAATTTGTAATGAAACTACGATCATAATGAAATTTATTTTCATGACTGTTAAGAAGGATCCAAATTAGCAATACAATTTAATACGAGTGTATATTTCAACAGTATTTGCCTGCTGATGATCCAGCTGGATCGAAACATGTAACAAATGAACAAATAAAGAAATATTACTATAGCAATATCTGATTCATTAAGATTTTATTGTCAACAGCTGTATAATACTACTACGCAGATTGCTATGTTAGTAAGTGCTGTGGTAGGGCCGCGCCATAGCTCAAGTGGTTAGTTGCTGGCTTCCCATTGCGGTGGCCTGGGTTCAATCCTGGGTCTGGTCAAGTGGGATTTGTGGTGGACAAAGTGGCGCTGGGCAGGTTTTCTCCAAGTACTTTGATTTCCCCTGCCAATCTTCATTCCACCAATTGCTCCACAATCACCCTCACCTATTACCTGGGGCTGGTAGAATAGGCCAGAAGTGGCCGCAGTATAAGGGACTTAGTCCCACCCCACTAGCAATAAAAAAAAGGTGCTGTGGTAGCTCCCTCCACAACTGAGGCACTATCACTGTTTTCACATTTGCTATGTGAGGAATTACCTACTCTATTTACCCAGTGACTTTAATGTAAGACAAGGATAAAGCAATGTTATTACTTTTAACTCTTCCTCTTCAGAAGCTAACAGTTACTTATGCACTCAAAAAATTCCCTTAAGGAATCCACAACAGAAGCCTGCCGCTGAACCTCATGCTCAGCCAGGTGAATCTGGTCCACATTTTCACACTCTATTTCTATAATACCCATTTTAATATTATTCTCTTATATATGCCTACATCACGCAACTGGTCTCTTCTCCTTTGGGTTTTCTTCTTCTGTTACTTTCTTTCTCTTACATCCAAATTCCCTCCTCTGCACCCTACTCCAAAACACCCTCTATCTATGGCCTTCCTGTAGGGTGACAGAACAAGTTTCACACCCATAGAGAGTAACAGCTAAAATTAGCCTTGTATACTTAATCTTTACACTTTTTGAAAGATGGGAAGACAACAGATTCTGAACTGAAATGGTACCAGGCATAACCAAAATATGACATTCCCTTAATTTCTCTATGAATAAAACTATGATTCATTTATGTGTGGTTGATTTAATCATGCTGACTGGAGCTCAGAATATATCAGACTGGCATTTCCAACCCACCTAAAAACTGGAGGACCACCCCTTGTCACTGCTTATTCACAGCCAACCTCCATATCTGGAGGTCATCTCCATCCATAACCTGTTACGATGACTTAATGCGATAAGATTTTTTGGCACAATTCTGCTTAACAAACAGAGGACTTCAGGTCAGAGAATACAAGGTGTGACAATTTAATTCCCGGAATGGCCGCAGTGTGTTACTAGGGTGTTGAGTCAGGCAAACGCATGTACCCAAGCACGTCTGGACATGTTCCAACTTGAGCCATAGACCAAATGAGTCATTTGTTTCCAGGCAGCAGAGGAAGTAGTATGTGTCCGTGGTATACTACTGGTGGAAAAATGAGAGACAAGAATCTGGAGCAGCGGATAAACATAAAGTTTTGTGTGAAGATTGGTAAGAGTGCTAGTGAAATGTTAGTCCTGTTAACAGTGGCTTATGGTGAATAAGCTCTGAATAAAGTGAGTGTTTTTCAATGGCATAGGTGGCTGAAGGAAGGACAAGAAGATGTGCAAGAGATAACCCAGGAAGTGAGCAGCCAAGAACGCAAAGGACAGATGCAAATGTGGATAGAGTATGAACCTTGGTGCGCTCAGATCAAATATTAGGTGCGAGACTAATAGCAGAATTGAATATGAATAGGGAAACGGTGCAACAGATTATTAAGGAGGATTTGGGAATGAGAAAAATTTCTGCAAAGATAGTGCCTCAAATCTTGACAGATGACCAGAAACAACGTTGGCTTCACATTTCATCTGATTTTAGCAGTGCAGAGATGTTTGATAGTGTCATTACTAGTGATGATATGTGATGTTTTCAATATGACCTGTAAACAAAACACCAGAGCATGCAGTCGAAAACACAGAATTCACCTCAGCCAAAAAAGCACACATTTCCCTTGCAGTTCGAGACAATTCTTGTGTGTTTCTTCAATCTCAAGGGGATCGTTCACTATGAATTCACTGCACAAGGACAAACAGTGACTCAACAGTGTTATTTGGAAGTACTGACAAGGTTATGGCAATCTGTTTGGAGGAAAAGACATGAACTCTGGCCTGACAAGTGGATTCTCCACCATGACAATATCCCCACACATGATGTGTTAATAAGAGTTCACAAGTTCCTGGCTACAAAATCCATTATAAAAATGGACCATCCATATTACTCACCTGACTTAGCACCCTGCAATTTTTGGCTCTTCCAAAAATTAAAAAAATATGCGCTGAAGGGGCAAAGATTTGCTGATGTTCCTGACATCCAACGTAACATGACACTACTGCAAGGTATTCTGGAAAACGATTTTCAAGACTGTTTCCAGCAGTGGCATCATTGTCTCACAAAGTGCACAGCTTCAGAAAGAGAGTATTTCAAAGGCAATAGCAGCCATTAGTGCACAAGTAAGCAAATTTTGTTTTCACACGCCCATTTTGGGAATTGTCACACCTTGTATTTCTCTAGTGAAAATTGCACACAGTAACTGTCAAGTTCTTCTAATGTTGCTGAATACAAGAAATGCTGTATTTCCTCAAGGCTTGGCAATTATTAGATTCTTTAGTGTACTTGATGATAATCATTAATTTAAAATTGGTATAATATGAAGTTCACAAGGATGAAGTATTCTGCCCAGTTCATGTCCTCCTCATCCTTCCTCTTGGTCTTCCATGACTGTACTAATAGTAAATTATTTATTATTAAGCTTCAAATACAATCCTCAGTCACAGATAATGCCTTCCCTACTAGCAACTCTCAACAGCAGCATATGAAAAAACTGATAATATGTATGTTTAAGCACTAGGGATGAGTAGCACATTTGCTGGAAAGAACATGTCTTTTAAGACATTTTTAAGCAAGTTATAAACAGAACACTGATCTATGAAGAGCTGTATTTTTTTATTTGCATACAGTCCCCTTAACTAGTTCATGGGGATATAAGCAGTGATCCTAGCTTTGCTATAAGATGTATTGTTGGTTTTATTGGCATTTTTGAAAGAATAGGAATTTTGACATTTCCTTATGACAAGGGGTGGCAACTTGTCTGACCCATCAAATCTGCAAAAGCACGCTCTCTTGCTCTCTCTCTCTTATATAACAAAAGCTGTTTCCTCTATGTCATCTTGTAGTTCATACTTGTATTATGTAATTCTTCTAATAGTTAACTTTATCTTCATTCAACCATCTGCTGTTTCCCAGTTCATGTTTATGCACTCTCTGGACACTGTCTTGTAGGTGATACCAACTTTTGAACCTCCCTATTCAGGCAATGGAAAGTTATCTACTCCAAATTCATCTGCTAGATACTACAGTGCCTTCTCATTTAAGGAGACTGTTCACGTCACTGCTGTGCATACAGGTCTGGTAAAATCATATATTAAGTAATATCTACAGTTCCCCTAATGGATATTCAAAGATTTTTGAGAGACAGATCATAAATATACCTCAACCTATTGTATGAAATGCTGTTTGTGCATCAACAATTACAAACATGGTTATGGTGTGCAACTTCAAGTTACATCCAATAAATTTAATATAGGCAGAATCTGTATATAAGCAGTAAGATCTTCACAAAATGAAAAGAAAATAATATAATATTTAAATTCCTTTATTTGAGTGCTATCCAACAACAAATAGACTATAACATTGGCACTGTAAACAACATATCTATAGGACTTGAAATCTATGCAACAGGAAAACAGGTTTTATGAATTCTGCTTTAAACTCTCTGTTTTATTTCTGAGACTCACCCTATTATATCTTGGATCTTTTGCGTGCTATTGCATCCTCCACAGCTTTCAGCTGTTTCAGCAACTCTTCTCTCCTTGATGTTGCTTTTTTTGCTGCTGGCTTTGACATGGCAGCCACTTTGTTGGCTAGCAAGGGCTCCAAAGGTGGGGGATCTTCAGCTGGCCTCTTCTTGCCTGCCACTACAGGTGGGGCCATACGTTCTGGAATGACATGATACAAGAACTGCATTCACAGTAATAATATAAAGTTCATTTATCACAGGAAGTACTTTTCAGAAAAATAATGTGACATGATCAAACAACTCAAGAAGAGATGTCATTCATTGCTAGGCAATGGCAATGTGACATGATCAAACAACTCAACAAGAGAGATCATTCATTGCTACACAATGGCATGGTAAACATGCAATAACATCAGTAAACAAGAAGCCATTGCTACACAATGTCCTGTAAATGACGACTATGATACAGCATTTTCTGTGCAGTCCAACCAGAAGCTATATAACAAGGACCAATGGGACGAGTTAGTTACAACTGAGAGCCAGGGATTGCCAGTGAGTGGACAGTCATGGCAAGGTCATGAGTTCAGTCAGTATGAATACGTGCAGCGGACAATCTTGGGACCCCTTACCAGACAACAGCTAGCGAAGACACAGAAGACTCAGTGTGTGCTGTAGTGAGAAGCGAGAGTGCACAAATTAGTGAGAACATTATAATTACTTGTAGTTACAATCCAGAAGTTTTCAAGAAATCCAATATCCAATACTGCTGTTTTGTCATTCCATAAACCCATGTTTTGACATGAGTGATGAACTCTGAAAAGGACTGTGGGCTTCCAGTGATTCTTGACAGTCCTGACACACAATGACAAAATTCTGTTTTTGCTTGCCAGTCATGAAGCACACATTTTTGCAATGGTCCATCGCATTTCACATGTTTGGATTATATCAGAGTCATATGAGATTCCCTCATCATTAGCCAAACTGCAGACTGTGACATGTCTGTTTTCATGAACAAGTTCCTTGAATATTTCTGCCCTCTAGGATATGATAGAACGTGGTCTGGTAGATGTGTACTGATGTTTTGGTAGACATCTACCTGTGAGACTACATGGTGTCACATCCCAGAAGACAATTATCTTTATATTCAGTGTCTTGAAAATCTCAAATCTCATACATTCCTCAACCTGTGCAACATTTCCATCTGTTTCCCTAATGTATGGATATCCTGAATGCTCAGCATCACTAAATAATATCACTCCACTTCTGAACTAGGAAAAGTATTCATATGTATGAGTTATGCTCACTATTTCCTCTCCAAAAGCAAGATTTAACACAGCAGCTTTGATCAGTTTGAAGTTGAAACTGAAGCACGCATGCTGTTCTTTGAAATGTGAAAATATATAATAAAGTGCAAATTACAGAGGACACAATATACAACCTCAATTAACAAAAGGTTATCCTGAGTGACACAAGTTACAGCTTTCAAAACTGGCAGATGATTCAGCAAGATTCTATTCTACCATCACCACCTAACAGAGGAGCTTTGTCCTAACTGCAGTCGTGTCATACTATGACCAGTCTAGAAATTAATCTCTTAATATCCTTGGCTAGCATTACCATAAGTAATCATTAATAGTCACAATGAATAGATGTAACATGAACAGTGTTCCCTAATGTACAGAGTACTGCTGCACAAATATCTAAAATTTTATGTGCAGTTCCACATTTTAGGTAAATTTTCCTCCTTTCCCAATGCCACACACACACACACTTCCATTCACTTGGCCAGCTTCAACATACAATGCCTAATTTCTGGGCTGGAAGAGCTATGTCTAGTCACATTTGTCCCATTGTTTTCAGTGTACACTGGAAATTTTTCAGTGTGTAGAACTGCTAAGAATTATCACACATACATCACTTTTCTTCGCTATCAATCAGTGTCTGAAACGCAATCATCACTACTCCCTTCTGTGATCCTCATATTCACATGAAGAAGTCATACAACCCAAATGTGCCAGCAATCTGCTGGCAATGACTAAAAATAGCCTGATTTCTTAAAACTGGTCATAAGTTTACCTCAGTGTAGCCTAGGACACCACAGATTCCTTCAGTCTGTGTCCACATTCCAACACAAGACATTACAATGTATACAAATTTCCTCTTTTATTGCTCTTTAAATGATGACTCACATGTATCATCATTTTTCAAAGATATCTGTGGCAAAATAGTCTCAGAAACAATAATTAATGCATAGTATTTATAATAAACATACCTCTCCGTATGAGATTCAGTTCTGGTAATTCTGGCAACCCTGTGACTTGCCGCTTATTAGTAGGAGGGACTGCTGCAGAGCCCTGTGCTTTCAGGGTTAACTTTATCTGCTGCTTCTGTCCAGACAGCTGCAAGAAATTTTATCAAGTTAAATTAAGAGCAAGCTTCAGTAGTTTCAAACAACTGCCATCATACATTTACATACCTTCAATGCATCCATTGCCTTCACCTTCAAGGACTGTGCTAATGCTAATCTTTCCCTCTCATCTATTACAATTCTCTTAGGAGGTCGCACAGCTGAAAGAGGAAAATACTATTTTAACCTTAAGTATACAGTTTTCATACCATTACATTTTGGCAATAGCCAATTTCTTTCCAGGATTAAATTTACGGCATTTGTTAACATAATTATGTGTCTGTCAGATGCTTTTGGGATACTGATGGGATCACAAATTTTCCAGTTAACACAGATTGCCATTTTAGATGAATACACACACACATACATATCACAGATCACATCTCCCCACTATCATACTGTGTGAGAGTTTTAAAAATAAAAAGTAAAGGTATTCCTGTAACAGGCCATGCAGGTCCATAGGGTTGAGGTTCCCATATTTTCTAGACAGTTCGCTCATAGATGGCAGCAAGGCTGTCAGCCCTACATGCCAGCCACCCTTTACACCCAAGAATACCCCATGAATATTCCTAGTACTCATTTCTGTAAAAGGCTGAGTCGACCCCAGGGCCATAATGCAGCCAGAAGGATTAGATTAATTGGAAAAAAAAATCCAATTACCTCATCAGGACTTGAACTCGTGACCTTCCAGCTTATAGCATAGTTCCTCAACCAATTATGGTACCATATGAGACAGAAATATGTTTCAAGGTCAGAATCCAAGAAGATCCCAAAGCAACATTAAAGATACGAAACAAAGGCAGCAATTCACCTGCTTATGACATCAAGGGATTCTGTGCTAATGCATGGTAACATATAAATGTGACGAATATAAGTATTAGCATGAAAGCTAATAATGTGCCAAGGTGCCACAGTTATGCTTCATATTCTAATGCAATGGTGATTAAACATGCAAAACAAACAACTATGAAATGGCATGAAAATACTGCACCTCCCAAGGCAATTGGTCAAAGGAGGAAACAAACCAAAATTTTCCAATTCTATATTAAAACTGTTGTTTGTAGATTCGATCCAAAAACATAAAAATTAGAATATACAAAACTATAATTTTGCCTGTGGTTCTGTATGGGTGTGAAACTTGTTCTCTGACATTAAGGGAGGAACACAGACTGAGGGTGTTTGAGAACAGGGTGTTGAGGAAAATATTTGAACCAAAGAGAGATGAAGTGACAGGAGGATGGAGAAAACTGCATAATGAGGAGCTTCATAACTTGTACTCTTCTCCAAGTATAATTAGAACGATCAAGTCAAGGAGGATGACATGGGCAGGGCATGTAGCACAAATGGGGGAAACAAGGAATGTGTATAGGATATTGGTGGGAAAGCCAGAAGGAAAGAGACCACTGGGAAGACCAAGGCGTAGGTGGGTGGACAATATTAAAATGGATCTTAGGGAGATAGGATGGGATGGTATTGATTGGACTGATCTGGCTCAGGATAGGGACCAGTGGAGGGCTCTTGCGAACACGGTAATGAAACTTCAGGTTCCATAAAATGCTGGGAAATTCTTGAGTAGCTACAGAATTGGCGGCTCCTCCAGAAGGGCTCAGCTCCATGAGTAAGTAAGTAAGTTTGTAGATTCGAAAGTAGAATGGACTGTCCACCTCCTGCAACATAATTTCTCAACAAAAGGCTGAAATTTTAAGTTCACCTGCGGGTGGTGCATATAAATGATGCAGAGAAACAGGTTTCATTTATAGTGAAGGTCTTCAATTTACAGGAAGTTCCCAACATACTTTGACACACTGTCTATGAAATGTCAGTGTGTTTCAATATGCCACCCAATTATACCATTAATGATGTAGGTGCAAAATCTGTTGTCATAAAAAACATTAGGCAATGAAAAGATGCAAGCTGACAAAGTTTGCAGGCAGCACAAAATGACTGTCATATATGATAGTGAACTGAAGAATTATTCCTAAGGTGCAGCTTCCTATGGGGCTAATGGTCATGTTTCAAACTAAGAGATAGGTGACAAGATAAACTGATATTGGCAGTTACATATTACATTTACATAAAATATTTGTAACATATCAAGACACCTGAAGATGGTCGTTTGGGGCCGACACATGTAGTATCACAGTGTATAATGTTAAACTAAAATTAAAATTAAGCAGTGAATAAACAAGTGTTGCAATATTGATGGACGTTAAGTTAAACAATTGCAACAGGATGCTGAAATACAGCAGAATAATACACTGTACTTTAAGAGTTATGGTGAGCCAAGATAGCATAGTCAGTATAACGACTGGCTACAGGCTGGACAACAGAGGGGTCAAAGTTCGAGTCCCTGTAGGGTCAAGAATTTTTTCTTCTCCACATCGTCCAGACCAGCTCTGGGGTCCACCCAACCTCTTATCTAATGGGAACCAGCAGCTCTTTCCCTGAAGGCAAAGTGGCTGAGGCATGAAACTGACCATTCACCTTCAACTAGTGCCAAGGTCAAGAAAATATCGATCTATATATCCACTCACCCATACGCCTTCACTTAATTAGTGAAGCACAGGGACAACTTTACCTTTAACTTACTTTAAGAGTCATAAGCTAGCTTATTAGATTAATTTAAAATGTAAATAGGTTAAACTAAGGAAAGGAAAGTATAAAATGGAAATGGTGTTATAAAAGAAGTAAATAAGATTTAAAGAAATGTCAGGATATAAAACCAGGGACTCATGTTCCATTATCTGCAATGTACACAACAGACTCAATGCATTTATCTACTCATTCATATCTGGCACATAGAATAAAGAAATTCATATGCAAAGACAGTCTGTAAGATTACGTAAGAATGTAATGTTAGGTAATGTTTAGCATAAACATGTGTTGTGCTTATGAAAAAGCTCCCTCATGCCTTCACAATTCACATACAATTGACACAAGCTACAGACAACCAGCACAAGTCATAACCTGTGCAGGTTTATATGTAATAACTAATGGCATACTTTTAAGATGTATCTAATTAACACTCCAAAGGCTGTGTAAGTTTCCAATCAAGATTTATTAGGGTTATTCCAAAAACACAAAACCAAGATTATAACGCATACTAGAGGGAGCACTTAAGCCACCAACATTAAATTATGACACACAATATTTTAACAATACCAGCTGTTTCAAAGAAATGGCAAGATCAACTAAAGAATATTACACAAAACTTGCAGTTTAAAAGGATTAATTAAATTCTGTTTTTACACAAAGACAGTTCAAAGTGAGCTGGTGTGTATACTGGAAAGAAAATAAAAAGAAACTTCACTGAAAGCCAGATAGTAGTTTTCACTCCATTGCAATATGATTTTAGCCTTGAGAGGAATGGTGGGCATATGAACATACCCTTAGGAGATGGCTCCCTGCTGCTGGAGGAGGACGAATAACTTGATTCTGATGTGTCACTACTGGAGCCACTGGAGTCAGACCCTGATGATGACCGTGATGACTTAGACTGGGAGCGAAGCTTCACTTTGGCAGACAATGCTGCAGCTACTACAGCAGCTTTTGAACGTTCTAAGTTCAACTTTGCCCTTGAGTTTGTTGATGGTGGTGGTGGTGGTGGTGGTGGTGGATTCTGTGCAGACTTTCTCATCATTCCTGGTGACGGTGGTCGTACTTCTTTCTGCTTGCGTGGACTCGGGGCTGGTGGATTCATTAGAAGTGCTCTTTCACTGGCTGCTTTCTTTTCAGACTGAATCAGACTGGCTGCAAGAAAGATAACACATTCTGTCCAAAGAGAGGCCTACATCTAATTAAACTTTACTATATACAGAATGAAAAAGAACATAAACTAATTTGAAATACAGATACTTCTAGAGGTAGTCTTTGTAATTTCAAGTGCCTGGATGATTTTGACACTAATTTAATAAAGATATATTCCTGATACAGGTAACCAACAGAAGAGATAATGTACAAAATACTAACACCATCCAACAATCAAGAGATCCATTAAAAAATGAAATTAAATATGCCAAAAGAATAAAACATCTTTATGATGCTGACAAACAGCAGTGTCCTCAAAATTATTCATCACTTTTGTCTCCCCTCTTATAAAAAATATAATAAGATCTGGGAAGAACTAACTGCCTGCTTTCCTTTGATATGACATGCACCGCATATAAAATTATGCCTCCAACAATTCTTCGTTGCTGCGGGAATGTTTATACCAAGCTGTTACCTAGTTATGATCGGGGAATACACAGACAGACAGACGCACACACACACACACACACACACACATACAACAATTCTTCTATTTTCTTTTTTCTTTTTATCTTTTGCCACAGGAATGTGTTTACCAAGCCGCTGCCTAGCAATAAAAGGAGGGATACATGCCACTGAGCCTTTGCCTAGCAATGATAGGAGGGATGTAAATACAGATACACAGACAGATGGGAGGGACTTATGAAGTATGTCACTGTGATGGTCCTGAGTGCCATGATATACATACCAGGTTTCATAAGGACCGGTTCAGGCACTCTGAAGTTAGGGGGGGGGGACTCATAGACACACAGACACCACAGTTTTGAGTTTACATTTTAAAACATTTTTCTGAACTCTGAGCACTAACATCACTTTCTTGTGCAACACTGAATTACACTGCTCATCACAATTCTTCCTTTGCTGCAGATAATTAGTCACATATTCGAACTGCAAGACTGATGACTGATCTGTTCTGAAAAATTTCACCATGTCCTGCCCTTGCATGCTTTCCATTTCAGTAGGGAAAGAAGGAACATGTGATTTTCGGTTCTACAGAAGGTTGACTGTCACTTGCCTAAGACCAAAATTTCCTCACTATATATAGCAGTCAAAAAACAGTTCATATTTTATTTTACCTTTAGAGAGAGTACGTGCATCAGGTGGCTGCTTCAAGACTTTGCGAGGTGACACAGGCTGGGAGTTTGGTGACAATGCTTCTGCAGCTCTGGCAGTTGGGACAAGAGGCCGGTTCATCTTTCGACGTGAACGTGACAAGGGAGTGCGTGAACTGGAACGTGAACGAGAATGGGACAAGGATTTTGAACGGGATCTAGAGTGTGAGTCATGACTGTAGGAGCTGTAACTGGACTGGCTAGAGCTGCGACTTGAGCTGGAATAAGTACAACAGTTGAAGATACACATAGAAATATGATTCTGCACTCCATCTTCGTACAGACCGCCTTTAATTCAGTAACTTCCTAACTGGGTAAGACAAAAATTTCAGAACCTTCACAAAACAGAAAACATACTGTGTACTCTGTGCATGTCAATACAATAAGGTATCCATTTAAAATCTGTATGAAGGACAATAAATCTGAACACAAAAATGAGAAAAGCTTTACACAGAGGAGGTAAACTGACACTAAAAATAATGAAGATGGGTCTACAGATATTAAAATACAAGAAGTCTTAAACTGGGGAATATTAACTGTGGATTAAATTTTATATTTGAAAGCATACCAAAAATAATGATGTGTTGTAGCTTTATATGGTTATGGTTTTTTTTCTTTTGGCTGGTTCTGGTTGCTTAGAATGAGATTTATATTACACTGGCTTCAACGATTTTCAAAATGGGAATGTCCCTCAAGACAGAGAAGAACACAAAAGGGAAATTTGATAGAGATGCAATTTTGAATGAGTGGTCTCATGATCCAGTTTCTCAACAAATGAGATGGCAAAGGAACACTGAGAGAAAATAAGAGGTCACAAAGTGTGAGAATACCACAATATGTCACATTCACATGGCAATATGTGCAGATCAACTGACCTGGATGATGAATACGAAGAGCCAGATGAGTAGGACTGACGCCGTGACGGACGTGAAGCTGAACCTGTTTTCCTCCCAGATGGAGACTTGGACCGCATCCACGGGTCAGCCCACTCATCACCACGACCTCTGTGACTTGGCACAGACACTTCAGAATATCTGAATATCATAAAGAGGCATGCTTACTCTATGGTACAAATCACAGTTACTCAGCTCTTCCTGCTGTTATGGAACCTAAAGGGTAGTAATCACTGCAGTCATTAGAGCCCACCATCAGACTCCATCCTTAGCAAGTTCACATCTTCACAAGCCATATCTCTTTACTTTAACCTTTATCATATAGGAAACAGGGCTTTAAATGATTGGGTTAGTAGTAGGATTTTAACTGTAAGTATACTGTAAGAAAAGTATACATCTTTCGAACTACACCTGTTAAAAATTCTAGTGAAAAGCATTCCAAAGAAGATTATTTCTTACTGTTTCCAATAATTTTTAAACATTTCCAAAATAAAAAAAAAATATTACACATATATAACACTTGATGCACTATGCTACAAGCTGGAAGGTTGCAGGTTCAAATCCCGATGAGGTCATTCAAATTTTTCAATTTATCTAATCTGTCCAACTGCAATATGGCCCTGTTCCTAGGGTGTAAATGGAGGCAGGTGGGTAAGGCTGACAACCTTACTTCCATCTGTGAGCCAAATGTCTAGAAGATGTGGGAGCCTCAACCTCTCACACCCTTATGGGACTTCATGGCCTGTTACAGGGACAGTTTTACTTCCCCCCCCCCCTTCATTATATATATGTGAACTGTATATAAACTCAAATACACACCATTTACATTTCTGGAAATGTTTTCCTTCATCTGTTTGGATGGAACTCTGATTTCTAATTCCTTTATTAGAACCATCACAACACAACTATATTAAGGTCAGTGCCTAGTTTGTGCCTAGAGTTGTTGTTTACATTCCCTACAGAGCGGACAATAGTTTGTAAGATGAGCCACCGACAAAATAATTAACATTTATATTACTAAATCTACATCACGAGCCTCAAAAAGCAGTTTATCATGTATACACAAAATATAGATTATATATTATATATCACATTATGATTTTCACCCATTGTTACTGTGCATTCATCAAGCTAATTTTCAAAATCAGATGACCTCAGATTCGAACACCTTTTATAGTCGTCAAGACACGAGTCATTACAAAAACAGGGAAATTCTCTTGAGAGTAATATTATATAATGCTATTGCCCACTGGTATAACAAGATTTGGCAAGTCAGTGACTGTAACAGTGACCTACTGTCCCCCATTCCCCCAACGCATCAAAAACAAACACATGACAAAACTTCATTCTTTGCTCCCAGCTCCCTACTAATATAATTCTAGCAAGTCAACGTCTGTTTGATGCTTCTTATTGTGTACATTCCCCCACTCCCCTTTCAATCAGTAAACTTTTACTTCAGTCACTTTCCCACTAGCCTAGCAGGTCCTTGTCCATGTTCCCAAAACTTCTGAGAGTGGTCTCCCACTTCTAATCCCTTCAGCTGCAAACAAACAAGAAAACTTATACTTTCACCTGCTGTCTGATCAGTTCAGATTCTACTGCCTCACAGCTGACAAGACCATGAATGAGTGAGAATAGTGTACCGACAGTATTATCAAGAATAAGAATGACCCTATTAGGATTGTTGTTTATAAATATCACATGGTAGAAAAGCATAATGAAGACCCGTATAGAGCAGTAGAGAAAATAAATGTTACACCTGCTACAGCCTGGCTCAAAATTAAGGGGTATTCTAGCCCAAAATATTTGCATCATATGGCCAGCTGGACAGTAGGTATACCAACATGTGGCACAGGGTCAATAAAGGATAATATTGTTCTCCATCTATGACAGGTTTCCTATATGTTATCTTTATTTGGAATTTTCTGATTGGGGTTTTGCATGTATTTGTTTTCCTTACACATACTAAATGTATCAATCATCATCAGTTTCCTTTAAGTAACTGCCCTAACAATATTCAGTGAAGAATAAAAGTACATATGAAACTGTTTTTCCATTCCTCTGTTACTATACTCAATTATGCTCTTCAACACTTTGTTCTCACAATAACCCAAAATCTTGTGTTCCCTCAAAATGAGAGTTTAAGTTCCCTGAGTATACGAGGCGCTATCAGAAAGATCTTGGACTAGGTCAAAAAAGAAATGCTGGCTTAACTTACTCAATTTTGGCTGCCATCTCCTTCAAAACAGTCTCCTTGGTAATGTATACAGCAATCCCATAATTTTTTCCATGCTACAGAAGCACCATGGAAGTAATTTTCCTTAATGTTGTTGAATACCGCTTGTGATTCCCTTTGGATGTCAGACACTGTTTCAAAACATCATCCCTTCAGTTTCATTTTCAATTTGGGAAACAAAGCGAAATCACAGAAGACTAAGTCCAGTAAGTAGGGAGGATGGAGGATGATGACCATGTTGTTGTTAGTCACAAACCCTGTGGTTCTCAGGGATGTGTAGGTGGGCGCATTCACATGAACAAGGAGCCAGTTTTTGTTGCGCTAAAGTTCCAGTCTTTTTGTCACACATTTTCTCCCAAGGATCTCAAAGCATTACAGTAAAAGTCAGAGTTGACCGTAGTGTTAGGAGGAACAAATTCCAGGTGAACAATCCCCTTCATATCCAGAAAAATAATGGGTGTTCTTTGTTGAACTCCAGACATGCTCCACCTTTTTGCTCTTGGTGATAGCGGGCTCTGCCAATGCAACGATTGTTACTTTGTTTCTCGATCATAACCAAAAATCCAACATTCATCACCCATTATGATCCTAGAGATAAAAGCTGGGTCCTCATTAGCATTCTCTTGTAGCTCAAGACACATGTTTACATGTCACTGTTTGTAATCATTTGTCAAGAGTCGGGGACAAACTTCACAGCAATGTGGCGCATGTTCAAATTTTCTGTTAAGATCTCCTAGCAAACTTCATAGCTGATCCCAATGGTGCCTGCGAGCTCATGCATTGTTCAGCACTGTTCTTCGTGGATGAGTTCTCAAAATTTTTCAACATTTTCTGTTGTTTTGCTGGTACTTGGTAGCCCTGGAAATTCATTATCTTCAACTGATACTCGACCAGCCTTGAAACGTAAATGCCATTCAAAAACCACTGTCCAGATTAAAGAACGTTCTCCAAAAGCCTCATGAAGCATTTCAAGGGTTTCGGTATCGGATTTACCGTGCTTCAAGCAAAACTTGATGCAGGCACGTTGCTCGACTTTGCCATCCATCACAGACAAAATAAAACAATAAGTTGAAAAAAGCATCATGTAAAAACAATGGATGTTCACAGCACAGTGTCATGTGGCACACTGGTGCAACAGGCCTGTGGAAGTGTGGCCTTGGCCTCCTCTCTCATCTTCTTTCACCGACACAGTTACAACAATAACAGTCCAGGAAATTTCTGATACTACCTCATATCTTGTTCGATGCACGTGGACTCTGAGAAGCAAACAAGTCATTTGGTAATAAAGGTCTACTTGCACATACCCTTATCATGACACATACCTTTCATCTCTCCATGGCTTCTCAGCACGCTGCATAATAACTTCCCTGACTGGATGTGATGATTTCTTCTTCTTCTCATAGTATTCAGTAGGTGGAGCCCTGTGCTGATGTGAATGGTATTTTCGAGTGCTGCCTGCATAGTCAGTCTCAATTCTCATCGCCCGTGAATCTCCAGGTTCATAGTGGACACGGCGCCAGTAGTCTCCTCCCCCTCTTACAGACTGATGGTAGTAAGCAGATGGAGATTCAGGGAAATCCTCGTAACGATCAGCAAGAAGGCTATCCTCATGATGATACTTTCCCTCCGAATCTACAAGTTTCAATCTGACACAAATAAACATCTGTGGGTTAACACTTCAACATCAATATTTCTTTGTATAAAACACATAAAAGAAACACAATGGGGTGGTCACACCTATCTGTTTGCATGTTTCATCTCCAAATTTTAGCAGAATTCAATTAATCTAGGCATTTGGATCAACACTAAAATTGTTTTGATTTCTTGTCATGCATCAGTCCCATATTAGTCCTACATTACGTGAAGCTCAAAATCAAATTAGCAAATTTCTAAAAAATGGTTCACACATAAAATATGCACATCAAGCAAATCATCACTATCAATGGACTACCACCCACAAGCTGCAAAACAATGGTACATGTGGTCCCACATTAGTTAAGAATTACAGACAGATGAAATGCAATTTTGTATTATGTACTGGAGTGAACATTTATTTTTAAAATATAACACACATTGACAATTTATTTGATTATATTTACTCTCTCTCCCTCTCCCTCTCTCTCTCTCTATATATATACATATATATACTCGTATATGACATGCTGTACTCATGATGTCATATAATTCGTCAAGCATTACAGTGACTCTGTTTTGGATCTGCTTCCTGGACAGGTAAATGAGAAGTAACCAATCACACTACACAGTAACTGTAAGATTAAGATAATGAACTTAAATTTTTGGATGTCTGCAATTAAACTGTAAAAATTAGCTTCACCATGTCCATCAGCATGCAAGTAACAACTCAAGAACCACCAAACAAATTACCTTTTTAATTAATGTTTTTTAAATTCGCTTAGTGGGGGGGTGGAGTCCAGCTGGGTGCACTTGGCATGGCAGCCCCTGATTGGTCTATTGTACCTGCCCTGGGTGATTATGATGGAGAATTTGGTGGAATGAAGATTGGCAGGGGAAACTGAAGTACTCAGAGAAAACCCACCCTAGCGCCACTTTGTCCACCACAAATCCCACTTGACCAGACCCGGGATTGAACCCGGGCCACCACGGTGGGAAGCCAGCGACTAACCAAAACAAATTACCTTACTATTTGATATTTTGAATTGTTTCATTTTGGTCCGTTACACTATTATACATAAAATCAATACAAAGTCCGGCAAGTGTAACAATGTTTTTTAGGTCACTTCTTTCTCACTCTTGCCTTACATGTTTCGGTTTTAGTAAAATAACACTGGCGTAGAACTCTCACCGCAGTACACAACACACAACGCACAGCAATAATCCAACTACAAGGTAAGCAAGGATCAAATACAACACTAAACAAAATAAATTCAATATATATAAATATATAAAACCTAATGTAATACAATGTCTTTGCAGCCAATACAACCTCAAGACATCTCCCAACATCGGGATAAATTAAGAAGCAGCCTAACATTTTTATATTTTACTTCAAAAGTCTTAAACTTTTAAATATTTTTTAAATATTTTAATAGTGATGTTTTAACGCGAGGGCAACTTCGGATGGAATGCGAAGGTTGAACGTGCATTCTGTACGTGCATTCAGTACTCCAAGCTAGTGTTGTGCTTTTACACATCGACATTTGTAGCAGTGCCCACACAGCATATATACTGTGTACAGTTAAACAACGCCAGTGTTTTCTTGTTAGTACCATGGGCCTCTGAAGATGGTTTTACTAAAACCGAAACATGTAAGGCAAGAGTGAGAAAGAAGTGACCTAAAAAACACTGTTACACTCGACGGACTTTGTATTGATTTTATTATTTGATATTTGTGAGTCTTACTCAAATTTGTCAGAATATTCCAATTCTGGCTCAACTGAACTACAATGACAGACATTTTTCACAAAACTACATATATTTATGCAAAATTATTATTTATTCATTTATTTCAGTGAAACATTGTTCATACAAAAACTAGAGAAAATGCAACACGCATTTTATGTCAAAACACTTTCTCCATGTCTCAAGATTTTTGTGATAACTAAAAATAAAGGAGGGTGACCCCAGGCCTGTAAACAAGCAGTAAGTTTTCTGAGGACTGATATCCTGTCTGTCTCACTGTACAGCACAAGATGTTAAAATCACCCACAATAAACATTAAAAATTAAAACTTATGCACCAAGGCATATGAAATAGCATCAGTTGAGGGCCTGAGGTTTGTAACACAGATCTGCCTATCCATTTCTGAGAGGTGCAGCAACCAACACTAAATCTCATCCTCTCACTGTAGCCAACACCCCCATTAACTACCACAAAAAAGAAGACAGTATTAATGTTCAATACAAACAATACAGTCACTAAATGACAATGAAAAAATTTAATATAGTACTTTTTCCACACTGGGATAATATTGTCACGTGTTGGGTATGTCATGCAACAAATAACTTCACGTGGGTCTCGGATTTAGCGAATCTTTATTGGACACTCATTCTTACACACCTTACAATTATTATCACTTGTAGTATCACCTGACTTCTGGCCCAATACTCCAATGCAACATCTCAATTGTCTTCGATCACGGTTATCCCAAGACTGTCCTTCTCCTCTGCTTATATAGGCATTATGCAGACCGGTTACCAGACATCATTCCTCACGGGTCTGTTACTACTATTTTGACAGTCCGCTGTTATGCAACGCGTCTTCAGTTGTTCATCTCCGGGGAGATTCATTCGTCGTTTCAGCACTGTCTACGGAACGGCTCACTGTTATTGCGTTACCATGGAAGTACCTACTCCAAACACGTTACATTGCTCCCTTCTAAAGGTTGTTCATCCCTGAACAGCCAACAGGTTCTTCCTTTCTTTCGTGTGTTCACCTTCCTAGTGGTACCTCCACCCTACTTTTGTTCTGATGTTCGGTTCTTCCATCCTCAATTCTTCCATCCGCCCCCCCCTTCTTCCAGAGTGCTCACCTCGAGCACTTCCGTGGTCCAGCGGTTGTTGATTCTGTCGTCTCACATTCATTCTTTCCTCATTCATCCTTGCCGGGGAGGCTGGTCTTTCTACGTTACTGCTTCCTCCCATACGGGCCATTTCCCTTTTTTCGGTTTTTTTTTTTTTGGGGGGGGGGGGGGGTCGACCCCTCCAGTGTCCAATTTTTGACGTTCGCATTTGTTGCGATTCTGCGCAGCACGTCTGCTGGTGCACCTGTACATGCTTTGAATTGCTTTCTCAGTCGCCTTATTGTCTCTCTTTCAATCTTGAGTCGTTCTGCTTCTTTTCCTTTCACGGCGAATTCTTCTGTCATCCTCCCGCGTTCAAGTTCTTCTTGTGCTCTTTCCGATGCATACTTATGTGGGCTTGTGCGGGACTCCAACTGATCTCCCTGAATTCTGAGTCTCTTGCGCTGTGTCACACTTGCGCAGTGGGTCACCTTCTTGTCGGACATGACCAGTCGCTTCCTCGGGAATCAACCAGCTCCCTAAGTAAGATTCTTCTTCACAATGTCTCTCTTGCGTCATGCCACTGTTGAGCAATGGGACATCTTCCAGTTGGTCTGTTTTTTGTGCCACTTTCACACGGCAGGTCGTGTTTGGCTTGAGGATGTCTCTCATGCGTCGTGCCACTGTTGCGCGACGAGACTTCCTCTTGTCAGTTTCATGCTCTTGCCGTGCCAATTTCACATGGCAGCTCGTCCCTCTACGGGTGACAGCCAGTCTTTTTCGGCACCCACCCTGACTCTGGGTCCATTTGTTCATCTGGCAGCGGCGGTCCGCAGCTGCTTTTCGGACCTTGCACCTTTTCTTCTTCGGTTCTCTGACTGGCATCATCTACAGGAACCTCTTCTTGTTGTGCTGCCTCAGGTTTCCTGTCCGGTGAGGTCAGCTTCTTCTCTTCCTGACGTGCCTCCATCTCTTGGCAGGCCATTGTCTTTATGTCCATTTTGGGTTTGCTCTCAGCCACTATCTCCTTGTGATAACACTCGAGGTGGCGTTAGTCTAATAACTCTTCCAAATTCGTCTCAGAATCCGAACTGATCCCACTTCTGACACCAGTTGTCACGTGTTGGGTATGTCACACGACAAATAACTTCACGTGGGTCTCGGATTTAGTGAATCTTTATTGGATACTCATTCTTACACACCTTACAATTATTATCACTTGTAGTATCACCTGACTTCTGGCCCAATACTCCATTGTGACATCTCAACTGTCCTCGATCACGGTTATCCCAAGACTGTCTTCTCCTCTGCTTATATAGGTGTTATGCAGACCGGATACCAGACATCATTCCTCACGGTTCCATTACTACTATTTCAACAGTCCGCTGTTACGCAACGCGTCTTCAGTTGTCCATCTCCAGGGAGATTCGTTTGTCGTTTTGGCGTTGTCTACACAACGGCTCACTGTTATTGTGTTACTATGGAAGTACCTACTCCATGTACTAATGTTCAATACAAACAATACAGTCACTAAATGACAATGAAAAAATTTAACATAGTACTTTTCCCACACTGGGATAATATCATTAATTTTTAGTATATAACTGTGTTCTTACCCCCACCTATCAGGCTCATCCTTCAAAATGGGGCTAGCAGGACGTGTATAATAATCATTTTCTTTGTCCAGTTCCTCCTGCCCAAGACTCAGGTTCATTTTCTTCTCCTCAAAGTCCATGTCTGTCTCCTTCCGCTTAGTGGATTTCCGCATCATCTGCAACAAACTTGGTGTTGGTACTGCTTGCTGTTACTTAAAGTTACTCATTATACATTAACAAACACTCACCTCCTTTGCTTGCCTCAGACCCCGTTCCCACGCTGACTCAAATACGTGCGTCTCTTCTTTTCTGGTTCCTTGATATGACAGCCCCATCTGTGAAAGAGATAAATATCTCAACCATCAGGCTCAGCTGTCCAGTTAAGACATACAAAACAATACAGTCTTTCCAACTTTTTATCTGCTCTCTGCATCAAATAAACATATTATGGGGAAGTTACATTTATCTGTCATATCTCGAAAACAACAGTTATTGATTATGTTTGAGAGTCATGATCTACACCAACGGATGTCAAGGAAAGTTAATTATGCTTGGCATTTGTTCACTACAACCTCCACTTAAGAGCAGAAATTGAATTTTAATAACAAGTCATAGAATACACATCTCATTAAGATCTATAACATTCACTTGAAACAGTTTTCAATATGTAAGTGTATAACAAAATATAGGAATAAATTTCTGACTCTCTGCAGTCTGATATCTGTAGTGCAATTAGCTTAGAAACATTAATTTCTACCTACAGTAAACTTACAAATTTCAATCTTGCTATACTATCTTCCTATGCATGTTCTTCCTGTAACGTGTGTATAAAGAATGTAATAAAGACAGCGATCCCCAATGTCCTGATTTTGGTGGAACAGTAATAACTTTGAGAGCTGTATTTGATGTTCCACTTGGATATATGGTAGGGGCCACATCTGTACCATTTTTTAAGCTTCTAGATTACATTAACAAATAAAAGCCAAGTTTTCTGACAGCTCTTGCTCTGAATTTCAGTACATATAACTTTGCCTTCATATGTGATATTACCATGGTAAAAGATAATATAATCACAGTCAGGTGCTGTGGCTTTGGCATCAACCAAAGGGGGAAAAAATTACCCTCTCCCTCCATCTTTGTCTGATAATGCTCTGATATAGGTATAAAACAGTTATTAAATTTTTAAAATGTTAAAAAAAACTTTGCTTCCTGGCAAAACAAAACTGACTCCTTTGTATCATTCACAAACCTTTCCACTGTATAAACTGTTCAATTGGCCAGCATTGTTAAAGGACACATGTATATTATGTGAATTCAAATCCTGACTAACATCTCCCAATGTGGTTAACTATGCACCTGAATACATAACACTTTGTTAACTAATTCTGCAACTTTTCATGGAAAAATGGAATAACAAACAAAACACACTCATGCCCACACAGGCACTCACTCAGTCACACACACTCCCTCACTCGCTCACACACTCCCTCACTTGCTCACTCACTCACTCACTCACCGTGTGTGCACGCGCACGTGTGTACACTGTATTACCTCAAACATAAGACACCCTTGAATTTAAGACGCATCCAGTTTATGAAGACGGGTTTTAGGAAAAAATTAAGACAGGTGCACATTCCTTGAATTTAAGACACACCTCAATTTTTAAACAGAAAAAAAATGTGCACCTTATATTCAAAGTAATATGGTATGAGCATGTATATGTATGTATGTATGTATGTATGTATGTATGTGTATATATATATATGTGTGTGGGGGATCGAAGAGAATATGAAGGATTTCCAGTCTGTGTGTACACACACACACAGACTGGAAATCCTTCATATTCTCTTCGATCCCCCGGGTCGCATTAAAATACAGTAAAACTTGGTTATAGCAACATCGGTTTCTGCGACACCTTGTCTATTGCGTCAAATATTCAATGGTACGAACTAATTCCTCATAAAGCAACTGTTTTTATACCTTGCTTAGTACGACATGCACAAATGCATCAACCTCGTATGTAACGTCATTTTCATTCCTGAATTTCTCTGATATCGTGGGAAAGTTCGATGTGTCTGCCCACCCTCACTTTCTCTACTTGCTGACGTGACTGTCCTGGAAGAATACAACCGCAATCTGCAAGAGGAGCGTGGGTTTTATGCGAAAACAAGGGTGTGGGGTGGGACTGCGTGAATAGTGCAAGAGGAAGCGGCAGGTTGTTAACTGCATTCCTTTCCTAGAATCTCGTCTAACAGGACCTCACATTGCCTACTTACCCTATAGTGTTCCTGCCTAAACCCAGAGAAGTGCAGTAGCGAAAACATGGCAATGAAAAGGAAAGTTTTAAGCATTGAAGAGAAAGTTAAAGTGATTCGTGAAATATTGTGTGTATTGTCAGTGAAAAGCGCTGTAATATGTCTTTGATATTACACATTTGGGCAATTCCACGTAAATGTTACGTTAGTCTGTACTTAACTACGTATTTCACTAAAAAATGCAACATTTTAACTCGGTTTTTGGTAGATTTTTATGTGACTAACATAAGGCTACTGTGGAAGTGCCCATTTCAGTTACAACGACATTCGTTTATAACGACACTATTTTTAGGTCCCTTTGATGACGTTATAACCAAGTTCTACTGTATTATTTTTTTAAATCAGTTAAGCATGAAACTTTATATTTTAAAAATTCTTACTTTAAGCGCAGATGTGCATATAACAGAACAATTAATAGAAATCAGCAGCAAGCCAAAATACTATCACTAATGAGACAAAAGGTTTTGCACTCTCAGCATGTCCACTGTTGTATTTAATTGCCACTACGGTCAAGGCAACTGTTTGCTTCCCTTACCCTTTACTGAAAAGTTCAAACATTCAGTTCACATTCTTACTTTTTCTTTGACTCAAAACAGTCTTTGTTCGAATATATTTTAATCAGACCATTAGTTTCAAACTGAAAGCGGTACTGAGTGGTAATGTGTAAGGTGAGCATGAACCTGTTTCTGTATGGTGATCTGCTCAGCAAAAGAGTGAATAAACAAAGAATTTGTATAGTAAAGTATTTGGTTGTACACATAATCAGTATGAGTTCATCTTTAAACTGATGGCTCCTCCCACAGAAAGCATATACTTCGACACATTCTCAAATGTGAATATTAATTTCTAATTATAGTGACATAATTCATGCAAATAAGTGGGATGTATATTGTCTAAAAGCATTTTCTCAGTAAGTCACAGAGGTAGAAAGGATATACAGAAACACATTCGTGCAAATAAGCATAAAGTCTCACTGTGTGCTATAATATCAAGTAAATAATATATTGTAAGATTTGAGGCTTTCACGGCGGTGACTATGAAGAAAGCAGTCTTCTGGGATTTGGCACCGTGTATATGTGGTGTTAACCGACGTTTCGGAGGAACGTATCGCCTCCATCTTCAGGGTAGAAGAAAAAATATAAGAAATCTGCAAGCGAAGAGACCGTGAGAACCGGTAAAAGCAGACAATCTGTTATTTGTGCTGTGCCACATAAAGATGTTATGTATGGTTAACTGCTTAAAAATCTGCAACTATCTGGTTTAACAAGACATGTTTAAAACAGGTACTAAAAAAAAAAGTAAAAGTAAAGCCCTGGTTTAACAAGACATGTTTAAAACAGGAACTACTAAAAAAAAAAGTAAAAGTAAAGCCATCCCTGTACCAAGCCATGAAGGGCCATAGGGTTGTCGGACGTTGAGGGTCCCACATTATTTAGACAATCAGCTCAAAGATGGCGGCAAGGTTGTCAGCCTTACGCGCCGGCCGTTACTTACTCCCCAGGAAAGTTATTTGATTAATTCCTGGTACTCATTTCTGTTAGAGGCTGAGTGAACCCCAGGGCCATAGTGCGGCTGGAAGGATTACGTCAATTGAAAAAGATCCAATGACCTCATCGGGACTTGAACCCACGACCTTCCAGCTTGTAGCATAGTGCCTCAACCACTACACTACCGTGTGCCCCCAAAACAGGATCTACTCACCTGTATTCAAATGATACTGTGGCACATAAGACACATTTCTAGGCAGTGACCACAAAACAAACAACGAAACAACATTCAATGCCAGGCAACAGATTTTAATAAGCAAGAACGAAAGGCCACTGCAGACAACAGCTCAGTAAACACATTCCAGTGGCAATGGATATGCATGCAACAATAGAGGAACTGTTGAAAACAGTGTTTTGTATTTGGTCTGTGCCAAGATGTTATATCCAAGATGGTTTGGAATGAGTTAAGTGCTCAGTTGAAAGTCAGGCTGTGAAGAGAAGACCTTATGTGTGCTGTAGTTACAGTGATATTTGGAGTGTGTAATTCAGTGAGCCTCTTGTAGTTACTTGTAGTTACAATCCATAAGTGATCAATAAATCCAATATTCAATCCAAAACGCCACCGAAATCACTCATATACATGAAAATACATTGAAAAAACAGCTCAAGCTAACAAAACTTCTGAGTACTCTAGAAAGATAAAGTTGTCCCTGTGGTTAATTAATTAAGCCCAATGCCATGAAGATGTTTAGGGGAGTAGAGGTACAGCTGCACCATTTTTGACCTCAGCACTTGATGAAGGTAAGTGGTCAGCTTCACTGTCCACTGGATAGACGTCTGGGTGCGCCCCACAGCCAATATTGTGGACAACAGAGAAATCTTATCTCTGCCAGGATTCCAATCCTGACAGTGCAGCCTGTACCCCATCACTATACTGATCAAGTTAACCAACCTCCTTCAACAAATACTCTGCCTGGATAAAGTGTTCATGGCCTGCTGTGACAGGTCTTTACCCAGATATTTACATTCTTTATTATTGTTATCATGTACATGGAGATATTAACTCAGCAGAGCAAATTATTATGCCAGAGAAATTTAAAATGGTAGACAGACAAAGAAATCTATGGAATGGGAACATCCATAGTGTTAATGTGTATAAATGAATTTACAGTAATTAAAGAGTAATTACAACAGCTTAGACTTTGCAACTAATCATGATATCCAGTCAGACTTTCATTCTGGACCCTTCATTCCTTCCAGGAAGAGAAACCATCACCCACATGTAAGCTCAAGCCCTGAGAGAATCTCAGAGTTGCCAGTGACCTGATGATCACATCATGATGTCACCAAATGGTCACACTGCACTATGCCACGGCCACATTGCAACCAAGATGCCATAAGGGCAAAATATTCTCTTCTAAACCCTAAACTGGCCATTCAGCATAAGGCTTATGCTGCAGATGATATGGATAAAGTCCAAGAGCTCAAACTGATTCCAGAAAGTTTATCTGAAGAACTACACACAAGAGAACAGAACTGGCTGCTCATTGTGTCCCTGCCTGCCAAGCATGCAGGCAAATGAGTGCTCTGGCCACATTATACTTACAGAAACAGGTTTTTCATAATGGGTGCGGTAGTCCACTGATGGATACACTGGAGGTCCATTGACTGGAACGAGGGGTCTCACCATGTCAAACATAGTATAGTTGCCCTTATCTGTGACCCCAGGATGTACAAACCTACAACATTACAATAGAAGCATGTTCATTTACAAAAGCATACACCAGCACTGCTGTATACCTTCATACCACGGTGCAAAGGCATTTCATTTTAAATAAAACATTCAAATTCTCAACCCTAGGCCTCTTCTATTCTGGAAATACAATTCATCATCATCTGCACCATAATGGTTGCTGGTTGTTCTCTCATTCACTCATTCAACAGAACAAGTAAAACTGATGTAGGATATGCCAGAAAAATAACAGTATTTTATTTAAGGTTTTAGAAATAACAAATTAAAAAAGCAGCCTAATATATACACAGTATAATCCATGAGCTGCAACATGACAATGACAAAACACTCTACTCCCAGCAGGGCCAAGAGATTTCCTGCTCTCTACAGTGGCATTGATGTGAAGTTGATCACTCACCTCCAACTAGTGCCGATGTTATGAACAGTGAAGCTAATCTCCATTCCCCTTACATCTTCATGAAGTGGTGCTTAATCAAGTACGAACAGGGAAACTTTACATTTTATAGCAAACAATTAAAATGAATATAATTGAGTACACAACAATACTTTATATTCAGCAATAACTGTGCTCTAACCAGAATATTTTTATTTATGTGAAATGCTTTTAACCATACAAACAAAAGAATATATTTCTCTATCAGAATATGAGTTAAATCATTACAGCACATTCTAGACAATAAAGACACATGGCTTTTCTTATCACACAAGGGGACCAAACTCCACCTCTTCCACTTACCTGTGCCTTAATTATGCAATGATCTCAATGGTGGAATAGTTTTTTATATACCAGTCATTAAAACTTCTTTACATCATACATTTCTGTTGTTGTTTTGCAACATCCCCTTACTTTCCAAACTTCAAAAACTGTGCCATTTTCTTGAGGACTACTTTTACTGTCCTGTTTTAAGTTTTGGTGTCATTACACACCGAAGACTTCAACTGTCTTAGATAAGTCTTCAGGAACAAGAAAGTCGTAGTATCACTTCCTTAGAAATCAATCATAGAATAACTTTACAGTACAGTGACCACATATTTGTTTTTAGCACACATCCACCTAACATCTAACAACAAACTCAGTGCAGAATTCATGATGGTTTCTTGAGTGTATTTTCATTTCTGGATGACGTGAGTTGGTTACTATAAAATAATGCCAAAACAGCCAACAATAACAAGTCATAACCAATATGAAATTCTGGGGAGACCTTATGAGTCCCTCTTTCCTTCAACTACTTCAGTCTGTCTTTTCTTTTTGTGGGTTATTTAACTAAGCTTTCAGTACTGAGACTACATAATGCTGGATGGTAAGATCACTGATGAATTCAAGGGGATTTAGAATGAAGTGGTAGTGGTCTAATCAAGGCACTATCCCAGCAATGGCCTGAAGGTACTGATGAAAACCAAGATAACATAAATCAGAATGGTCAGTGTCCCAGCTAATAGAAATGGGCACTTTTTGAATATGAAGTCTGGAGTGTCAACCTCTGCACCAATACATTCAATGTCTGAGTTAATTAAGTGCTCTTATCCTGTGCATAATTTGCATTAGCAGGCCCTACATATTTCCATTATGATAAGTTATCAGACATAACCTCAATGTTCTGCATCACTGCCATGTTTGTAATTTTTAACACATACTCTGTCCAAAACATCTATGAGGGTATGTCACATCTTACAGAAGATAAGTCCTGTATGCTCAACAAGATCTCTGGTATGGTGATTCTGTTTTCCATCTAAGCTGGAAATATATTGTGGCGTATTTGTTCTATGCAGAAACTGATGAGCCACACAGGCCTTGGGGTACACGCACAATGGGAAAGTTGCAGATTGGATCGCCATGTTGCTAGGCAACAGCTCTGTGAATGCTTGGACTGTACAAGAGTGAGTAGGGATCACATGACCTCTGCGTTTCCACAAGTGATGTCACATGCACGCACACCAAGCCCATTGCTATGCAACACTCAGTAAATGTCCTTCCATGCTAGGCTGTGACATCACACAACAGAGGGCAAGCTGTGTTTTCCACTTGTCTGACTGAGGGTTTATAGGAGAAACTGGAACTAACTGAAAGTTACTTACTTGGAGTTAGTTACGCATTACAAGAGAATCACCCGGAGTACAGAAGAATACAGGAGGACGGCCTGTGAGGATATAAGGTGTGATTGGAAGATTTTATGTGATGGTGAGTGACAACTGAGAAGTCGGCAGTGAAGACTTAAGACTGTATATGTGCTATAGTGCAGTGAGATTGGGAGTAATTCAGTGAGACTTGTATAGCTCCCATGTCATAAATATATGAAATCTACTGCAGACAGAATGAACAGATTTGAGTGGAGAGATTGCACAGTGCATAAATCAGCAAGTGTCATAAAATTGTAGTTACGACCAGTAGGTTGTTAATAAAACCAATTACCAATCCAAACAGCGTCTTCAGTAGCTAAACATGCTACAGTATATAGTAACTTCCCAATGATGAAATGATCTACATCATTATCTAATGACAACTCACCCTCAAATATGTTTTAGACAAAGTATATCAAAAATGTTTCATGCAAAATTGGTGTGGATGTTAATGATCCGAACCTTAACATACATAGCAACAGTGAATCAATAATTATCACCATCAAATGAAAGGCTAAATAAAATGTTCATGTGGCATACATCCTGCTATTCCTGACCAACGTTATTTTGTTCACCCAAAGGCCTATTATGACATTAAATTTCATGATCCTACATAATAAAACAAAAACAAAAAACAAACTCCGTGGTCTGTAGTCTGCAAGCAAACCATACCGACCAAGCAACTGCCGCTTGTCAGCAAAGTTAGTGTGGATAGAGGGTGTCACATGGTCAGCGCAATGGATCCCCATGGCCGTTAATCTCAGTTTTCTGGACCGGAGCTGCTATTTCCTTGGAATGGTTCCTCAATTATTGACCCTACATAGTAAACTCATTATCCAGCATGTATGGGGAACGGGGTGGGCCAATTAAATGANTGGCCGTTAATCTCAGTTTTCTGGACCAGAGCTGCTATTTCCTTGAAATGGTTCCTCAATTATTGACCCTACATAGTAAACTCCTCATTATCCAGCATGTATGGGGAACGGGGTGGGCCAATTAAATGATTTGCTGGTTGCACGTGAACTCTCATAAACCTGAACTTCCACAAAATTTTTACTCTCTTCCAGTACTGCAGCATTTCCATTCTCTATTTATAAGTCTTAACAACATGTTTTCACTTCAGTTCTTGCATGGTCTTTTTAAGTGGCATAGCAAATCGATGGATCGATTCTGGATATACTATAACGCAAACACAAATTCAACCAGTCTCTACTGCAATGATATATCACCACAGTTATAATGGCACCAGTCTGAAGGATAACAAGCAGCACTGCTAGTGGCATGTGGGAGAACTACCACGTGGCTGCTAACATATGAGCAACATAATTCTGTTTCTGGAGTAACTTTACAAAAATGATAATTTCCTTCAAATTTTTGCTGGCCATGTGAGAATCTAGGATGCTTGGATACTGGATAACCAGGAGTTTATTGTACTAAAGTGCGCAATTGTTACACAGTAGTCACGTTGGTATTATTGATGGCAGGAGATGAAGAAGTACATCGGTGAGGTTGCCTCCAGAGGCATGAAGTTCATACTTAGTTTCATGAAAATCTTTCAAGTAGTTCAGAGTTATTAGCAGAGAACAGACATGTGAACATGATATCGGAAGTCAGTCAATCTTTATAAAATATGAAATGTAAGCTAAAATGAAAACACAGTATCAAGACAATTTCTCTCATCCACATCATAGAAAAAATTAAAATTAAATCTGGTGAAATATTCATAAAATTATGAACCGACTATAATATGCATACAAACAAAAGAAAGTTCTCAAATTTTTTACTGATTCCAGGAGGTAATAGCAGTTACAATTCTACATGCTACTTGGTTATCCTCTGGTGCTTTTCGATACAACAAATGTTAGGATTGCACCTTACAGACTATCACCATTACTTCCCTCCACTCTTGACTGGACAGCACTGTTCTTTTCTGAAGATTAATACTGAAGCAAGGGTAATATACAGGGTGTTCCAGAAATGGTCTGCTATACTTCAAGGAGGGAGGTAATGTCATACAAAAAACATCAATTCAACATTAGTACTATCTCTACCTGTTCCTAAGGCATGGCTGTTCTAGATGTATGTGGAAGAAAATAAATAAGAGCATTAATCAGATGAATTTATTGCTATATGTTACGAGCTGCACCTTAAATTAACAATTCAAAACATCCAGCACATTTTCCAGTGCATAGCCTTGCTCAGTTTACTGCCCACTGCATAATTTTGGAACGATCCCACATGCAAACCACCTCTTTCATAAGAGTTCGCACAAGAAAATCAAGCAAGGATTAGGTCTGGGGATCTCAGTGGCTACAGTAAGGGAGAAGCACAACCAATCCACTAATTACCGCAATACTGATTCAAGCATGCCACAACTTAATGAACAATATGTGGAGTCAATCCATCATTCTGAAAGAAGTCCTAGGTCTTGGTTCCAGGGGCACATCCTCCCTCAAAAGGGGCATTTCATTCATCATAAACATTGAGCATTGTTCATTCTATCCCATGTGAACTGTGCTTCCCTGGTGAACAGTGTGTGAAGATTACAAAATGTTAATCAACTCCATCCAGTGTGATTCATATGTGCCCCCCCTTTTTAATCTTTCACCCTTGACATGTTTCAGTCTTAAAGACCAACTTCAGATCAATATGGGCAGAAACTACTATTACAATGTGTTTTGTCAATATAAATACATACATACAATATCACCACAATTCCATGAATATAAAATGTGATCCTTTCACAACTACAGCGATTTGCATGAATACATTAAAATATTTATAAATTATTACAATTAGTCTGTTTACAAGTGTGGTTTAAAAAAGATTTTGTTAAAATTTTTAGAACCAATTTGGTTCATGTCCTTATACTGCCTCTCTTTAAAAGAAGTTGAATGTCTACCACCTCGTAGTTCCGAATGCCCCAAACAACAGGATGACACTAAAAGACTCCTATTCATCAAACGATGGAACCACAAGGTGGTAGACATGTTATTAAATATCATAAAATGTCATTAAGACACTGTAAGTATATCTTATACACTAAAAGTGGCTATCAAAATATTTTAAAATGTCTTTTGCTTTACATAATGTTTTTCAATTTTGCAACATGTTTCGGCCATATATGGGCCATCATCAGGCAAATTTTAATTTGTATGGAGACTGCACTGTCCACTTGTCTTTCGTGCTCCCGTGCACGTCACTGTTTTGTTGTTGTGTCTCAAATCTAAGATACTGTCACTGTATTCTTTTTTCAGCCATCATACTGTAATGTATAATATGTATTAGTATGATCTTTATCATGTTGTCTTTATATATCCAACATTGAAGTTTTGTGTACTTACGTTTTTGTACATTTTTTCCGCCTGTATATGTGTTTTTGGTGCAGTCTTCCCATATACTAACCCTAATGTAGTTGCTCCTGCTTACATATCTTTCTGGTGGCGTATATACTGCTACCTATCGCAAAGTTCATACACTGTTTGAAATATTGGTTTATGTGCCTCGATGAGTACATCATTCATATGTAAATTGTTCTTGTGTACTTTGTAAATATGATATCATTCTACTTACTTACTTACTTACTTACTTGCTAATGGAGCTTTTTCCTTCTTGAGGATCCGCCAATTCTGCAGCTACTACAGATTATCCCAGCATATTATGGAACCCAAAGCAGGAGAAACTACATAGAGTTAGTATACAGGAAGACCACACCAAAAACACATATACAGGGGAAAAAACGTACAAAAATGTAACATGATAAAAATCATACTAATACATATAATACATTACAGAATGTTAACAAAAAAAAAGAATACAGTGACAGTATTCTAGATAGGAGACACAACAGAATGGCGTGCATGGGAACACAAAAGACAAGTGGACAGTGTACTCTCCCCACAACTTAAAATTTGCTTGATGATGGCCCATATGCGGCCAAACATGTTGCAAAATTGAAAAACATTATATAAAGCAAAAGACTTTTTAAAGTATTTTGATAGTCACTTTTAGTGTACAGTGACTCAATGACATTTTATGATATTTAATAACATTTTAAAGTATTAAAGTTATACTTTTAGCGAGAAATATATTTTTGGTGCCTTTTATAATTAAAAATCATTGTTGCATTACTGACAGTATACTCCAATAACATAAGAATGATGCTTAAATACAGGATTACATGTGTATCCAAGCTTGTGAAAAAGTGGCGGGCCACAGGTTCAGTTTGTGACATAAAGAAGCAATTGCAGAGGACTGTGCTAACTGAAGAAAAAAGTATGTTGTAATAAACAAAGCGAGACAAAACACCAGAATAATGATAAAAATCAGTAATAGTGACCAAGCATATTTACACTTGCTCTCAGTTAATTTCTCATTAAAGTAAGAGGGGCTGAACAGAAAGCTGGCACTAATTTTTCAAATCAATGACTATTAACATAAATTCCCTAACTTCACTGTGCCCATTATTGTTTATCCTCTTAAGAAGTAAATTTCCAGTTAGTAATTTAAACATTTCAAAATTTTCAGTCAATAAATTACGAATCAACATTGCACAGCGGATGTGTGAACCACTGCACTATCTTCAACATACCTTTCCTAACAAATGCTGAAACAGTACCTTAAATATGTCCACCCTAGAAAACAAGAGAGCATTATTGTGTCTGATTCTTAAAAATGACTTGCAGTACAGCCTCACAAGCAATGATTATCTGCTTTAGCCTCTCTGCCACACACTCCATGACATCTAGTGACAAAATTTTTTGAAAATTTAATTCATCCTTTTTATACAGCTCAGAAATTCATGTGCAAAACAACTAGTTATAATGTAGCACTGGTTTTGATGTGCTCAGAGTTAAGCCATCAGCTTCAATAAGTTAATTTATTTTGCTCATATACATTCTATCATAAGTTATGGTATAATTTTTTGGGGTGGCTCTTCCTGTGTTAACAAAGTTTTTATATTGCAAAAGAAAGTTGTTAGAATTATAACGAATTCTAGACCAAGAGAGTCTTGTAGGGACATTTTTAAGAATTTGGAAATAATGACGTTCTACTCTCAGTACATATATTCATTACTTTTATACGCAATTAATAATAAACATTTATTTAATTTTAACAATGAGATACACAAATATAAAACTAGAGCCCTCAGTAATTTATATTTACCTGCAGTTAACCCAACAAAATACAATAAAGGTGCGTACATATCAGGTATTAAAGTTTTTAATCATCTTCCTCAAACAATAAAAATGCTGGCTACTAATGACAGAGGTTTTAAATCTGCACTGAAGAGGTATTTATATCATCATTCTTTTTATTCCATGAATGGATATTATCAATATAATTGGTAATAAGTGTGGAAATTTGTAATGCATTTGATTCAGTTAATTCAGGTAATTTAAATAAAATTGTATTAATTTAAATTTTATAGTAATGTTCTTTTTAAATTATGTTTATTAATTCAAATCTTATTAAGTTATTTATATTATTATTTATGTTAATTGGTTAATGTAAGTGATTTTAATCCGGACACACAAGGCTGACAACCTTACTGCCATCTATGAGCCGATTGTCTAGAAAATTTGGGAACCTCAACATCTCACAACCCTATAGGCCTCCAAGGCCTGTTGCAGGGATAACTTATTTACTTTTTTTTAAGTGATTTTAATTATGTAACTCATGTAATTTAGTACATGTATCTGGACACATCTATTCTCAAAGGGACTATTTCCACATTCTAGGTTTGTTACCTGTATGGCTATATGGAAAATAAAGGAAACGAATGAACTTTGCTATTAGCACTGTGCATTTCTTGTCATGACTGCCTAATTTGCCTCATTACACTGCTAATGCACATGGCACTGGACATAACAATGGTGAAACACACTATTTGTGAAGCAAATATAACTGAACATGTACTGTTTAATAAATATAACAAAAATAAAAATGTGTACTCAAAATTAATAATATAGTCAATTCCATAATATTTTTATAATTATGACAAATTATGCATTCAGGTGGCAACAGTCTATCTACATGACAAACCATCACCTTGCTTTCAATCTAACTTCAGACACGGCACAACCTTGAATATCATATTTGAACTCTGATCTGAACCTGTTTCTGAGTTTGGATTTGTTCACAAAATATAAAAGTACACAAACAAGAAACTTCACTGAAATTTTACTAGCACTGCAGACATCTCTTGGTGAATAATGTAATTACAGTAAAACTCCTTGAGAAAAGGGACATACATATACTGACCACCGTATAGTAAAAACATATCCCTCTCATCACTATAATAATGGTGCACATATCACTAAACCACTGTATAATTCATAACTGCCATTGCTATCCACAGGCAAAGCCAAACGCAAACTATCTCCTGTGTGACATTAAAAACCATACTATGTTATGAACACTGGCAATCATCATACAAATAAAAGATTTTAATGGTGACTGTACATGACAGTTGTCACAAAAGGTTAGACATAAGGCAACATGTGCAGCTGTCCCTTGTCCATACTCACCTACAGCTGGAGCCCCATGTGCACTGACCACGGTTGTAGAAGCGACAAACAGGTCGAGGTTCAGTCTCTTCAGGTCGGTTCTCATCCTCATCTGTCAGTTCACCTTCTTCAAGGTCATCACCTTTAAGCTCACCATCATCCTCACTTCTGTCCCCTCCCCCATCACACTCCCCCTCCTCCTTCTCCTCTTTGTCTGCCTGCTCCTCTGCCTCAAAGTCCAGCTGCTCCATCTCCTCCACTGGTGCAGTACTACTCACTCCCCCCTTCCATTCCCCCTTAGGAGACATCTTCTTCTCCCCCTCTTCATCTGAAACTGCATCCAGACTATCTCGACCATCATTACTGTCCAAGTCTGACACATCAGACAGATCCTCCCCATGCCCTGGAATCTCATCTTTCTTTACTACCTTATCTGACATTTTCTCACTCTCCATTGGTGAACTGGGTCCATTTACTTCCTTTTTTCTCTCTTCCACATTTGAAGCCTCTTCATCTTCTTGAACAGAAATTACAGGTGGTGAAGCTGGATGACCATCTGATGCAAATGAGGAAGCTGAAGATATACTTTCACTTTCACTATCAGACAACTCATTATTGGACTTAGGGGACAATTCCCCTTTTTCTGTGGGAGGTGGGGACTGGATATGACTACAGCTCCTGTCAATCGGAGGTGGAGACCTTACAGGACTAGAATCCCTACCAGTGGGGAGAGGAGACCTTACAGGACCAAAGTCCCTATCACCATCAACAGACTCGCCGCTTTCATCTCCACTCTCATCTCCCATTTCTGATTTAGCAGACATGGCTGCTGCCACTTCATCATGTCTCCGCGACTGAGCGGCTATCTCATGTTTAGTCTCAAAATCTCCATCCAAGGAGCTGTCAGAGTCCATAATGAACTGCAGAATTGCCTGAAATCATAAGTGTTTTATAAGAACATGCAGTAAACTAACACCTGACAACATAACTGATTTGTAAAAGTATATAGTAAATTGATACCATTATTTTAAGCTTTAATTGCATATCAAGTAATATTTTGCAGTATTCTACAGTGTAATATGTGTTTAATAATATAATCTGACAAACTAAAATTTCAACAGACAACAGATTTCGGTCGTAATCCCTGCGAATCGAACATTAAATTTACGGAAACGAAGTTTGAAAGTCGAACTTTGATCTCTTCTTCTGATCAATTATCAGATGAACGCTTTCTTACCTTGTACTAGAGGCATAAGCTCCATAGTGGACTGGCATAATGTGGTTACCAGCTTTCCACATTGATAATGCAGAAACACTACACAGTTTCCTACTATCTTCATCGTTTACCATTTTCGTAACTTCCGACGGACCGTTAACTAAGTCGTTACGAGTAAACTTTCAACACAACACAAAATTAATAAAACTGGAGTCTTCACATTTCTGAAAATAATACTAGTAGTACAAAGACATGACCTCCTTAGCACACGAATATTGAGAGGCCAACCCCGGCGAGAAAGATGCACTTCTCTTCGAATTGTGAACTTTTAACTCACCTTACCTTATCCTACACCACGTAGCCACAATCAAATTCACCTTGAGTACTTGTACAAACTTCAACAAAAGGAAAAAATAATGTATTTTCAATTATTTAAATACAGCAGAAACACATCTCTCAGATAAGCCTTGATTTATTGGCTTCCCTTCATTGCACTCCCATTGGTTGGCTCGATTGAAACTGCTTTCCAGTAGTTCCAGTATGCATAGACAAAACACTAGAATGTCGACAGTACAACCAACTGAATAAAAATTATCTGTACTTGAACAAGTTGACGTTCTCACAGCGCTCGGGTGCTTATTGTGAAGAATACTCTCCTTTGGTAGCGAAAGGCGTGTGATCCTACGATGGTGAACAGACGTGTTAGAGGAATATATTGCCTCCATCTTCAGGGTTCAAAGAATAAGTCGAGTAAGATACCAACTTGAAAGCATGTGACGGACAATTTGCAAAACGCGTAGAAATCATACATAAGATTACCACAGGAAATGGAAAATATTCGATGATAGATATAAATATATAAATGTATATTGGTAGGTGGACAGGTGGATGAATTAGGGTGGTGGATAGATTATATACATTCATGATCCTGGAAACATAAACGTACTCTTGATTTATGCGACAGTTATTTCCAAAAGGTCACAAAGAGTAAAATTGCATATATTGGACATTATTTCCCCATAATAATCAATGGATATGTATAAGATGTACAAAAAGTATCAGAATATTCCTGCCATCACTTTAGCTGACTTTCACAGTACAGTACATCCTTTTTCTCATTTTCATGATCATGTCATTTCGGTATGAATAAATCGTTTGTACTTCAAAAAAACATGCTAGACATTACCATAAAATTGGATACTATAATGTCTTTGAAATGTGTGCAGAAAACCAGCACCCCAGAGTCAATATCCCTTGCCTAGTTGTCCCACATCAGTGCTCAAAATATGTATATGTTGTCTCTCAAACATTAAAAAAAAAGTAGGTTTTAAAGTTCTCACAACAGTGGTAATAAAAATTCGTATCTTCTGGGATATAACATGGTGTAGCCCATTAAGTCAACCAACATTTCAGAGGAGCATGTTGCTTCCATCATCAGGGTTGAAGAATAAGCCAGGCATGAAACCAGCATGTATCAGGTTGTCAGGCAGGAAGCAGAAACCTGCTGAATGTGGGTTTCATGCCTTGTTTATTCTTCTACCCTCATAGACAGTGCTCTAATTCAGAGGTTCCCAACGGGGACCATGTGGCCCCCCAGTGGGCCAAGCCGTATTTCTGTGGGACCGCAGACAAAATTTGGAAAAATGGAGGGCCATGGAAACTGTTAAGTGGGTCACAAAATTTTCACTTCTAAAATAAAATTATTAATAATATAAAAAGAAATAAAAATGCCAAATGGTCACTATATACAATAACTCAATATCGTTGTTTTTGTGTACCTTACTTAGAAGGGACAGAACCTATTGTACTTAAACCACAACCTTAGATCTGGGAATTCCAAGTACCGGTAAACAGATACACGCCTTCTCAGGGCGGGTAGAGCCCTAACAAATTATCCTTTATTTTCCTAAATATCTCCCCCTCCTCTCATGAGTTTTACTGCCACCTTTCCAGTAAATTTCAGGTGTTCTTCAGTTCAGTATTTGAAGTGTTTGGAAGAAGACATTTTTCTGTGCAAGTTCTATTATTGTGGCAGTTCCCTACTTTGTAGGTAAGTTACAAACTCCAGATACTATTTTTTGACAAATAAGCATTACATTTCATAATAACTTGAACTTTCATTACAAGTAAATTATTAGCTTTCAATAGAATTTGAATGCCCTCCCTCTACAAGAAAAAATATTGTGAATTGATTACAGCAGTTTTGTATGTATTTGAAGTAGAATGGCTTTCAAAGTAATTTTTATGAATATTGACTTCTAAAATTTTCCACATCTTCAACAAATTTAGAAATAGGGCAGTCATAAAATCAATAATCAATATTACATTTATTATAATTAAACAATATGGGGGGGGCACAGAACTGAATGAAAGTCACAAGTGGGCCACGAGCAAGAAAAGGTTGAGAACCACTGCTCTAATTCAAGCTCCAATATTATCGTAATGGCACACCAACACACACACACAACAATAATAGATGCCACTCAGAGACTATCATAGATCAACATCACAGGTGTGAAACGCTGATATGCCAATGTCATAAAACTGAGGTTTATGACCACTGCTGCCACAGCAAGCACACAGTGGTGAGTTCACGAACTTTATTGTCAGACCTCCTATGTAGAAAGCAGTAATAACAAAATTCCTTAGTCTACAAGCTGATAGTCACTTAAAATGGAGAAAACGTATTAACTTCTACCTAATTCTACATGTTTTGCAACAAGGCCCCTCACATTTACAGCTAGTATAGAACTACTACAGACACTACCATGCATAATTTCAGTTGACATGTGAATAATCTGAGGTGAAGATTTGAGGCTTTCACGGCGGTGACTATGAAGAAAGCAGTCTTCTGGGATTTGGCACCCATTCCTCCGAAACGTTGGTTAACACCACATATACACGGTGCCAAATCCCAGAAGACTGCTTTCTTCAATCTGAGGTGAATTTTCTGATGGTAGAGAATATTTCCCTTCTACTCACAGCAGATCACAAACTTGATCCCCACAGACAAGTTGTTAACCATCTTACAGTTTATCCAAAAGAAATCTATTATGTAGGCATAAAAATGCCTATACACATAAATACACAGTCTTTCTTGACAGAGTGAAATCAGTTGTGGCAGACTATGATAAAACATGTGAGTGGTAGCTGAATGTACTTTACATGAAAGACAAAGAGAGGGACTGTCTGTATTATTCCTTACCTTGTATAGTTGCAGCTATGAATGACTCCCTGTATTACATGTCAGTTCTCTTTGCATTTCTGTTCTCATAAGACCATTCAGAGATCTGTTACAGTATTGAATTGAGATGATAAAATATACACTTAAAAGTGGCATTTTCTATATGAAACTTATGCAAAAAATACATCATACAAATTGTGTAAAAGAATGCTTTGCTGCAAGTACCCTGGTATGTGAGTTTCAGCTTCCTTGATGATTTTAAAATTGGTGCAGAAAATGGGTCCAGCTGAGTCATTCTTAGACAAGAAGTACCTCGTACACCACACAGAATACTGTCCTAACTAAGGAAAAGTATGATGAAATTGGAACCACCTTAGAACACTCATCTCACAAATCCCTGACACATTTAACCCAATAGGCATAGCCTTTGATGCTGAAAATTGTGAAAAGTGACTAATTGATTGATTGATTGATTTATTTCGTCACTGTAGATCATTGTACATGATATATGACAAGTCAAGTTAATTCTGAATATTAACAATTTGATATATAAGTAGATTAAAATTACAATAGTTACAATTTTTTACATTCTTATTTGTGGAGAATTTGATGGAATAAAAAGATATGTCTTACTTACTAACTCATGGACTTGAGCCCTTCTGGAGGAGCCGCCAATTCTGCAGCTACTCAAGAATTTCCCAGCATTTTATGTAACCCAAAGGTTCATTCCCATGTTCACAAGAGCCCTCCACTGGTCCCTATCCTGAGCCACCATACCATCCCATCCTATATCTCTAAGATCCATTTTAATATTGTCCACCTATGTAGGCCTTGGTCTTCCCAGTGGTCTCTTTCCTTCTGGCTTTCCCACCAATATCCTATATGCATTTGTCTCCCCCATTCGTGCTAAATGCCCTGCCCACCTCATCCTCCTCAACATAAACATTCTAATTATACTTGGAGAAGAGGACAAGTTATGAAGCTCCTCACTGTGCAGTTTTCTCCAACCTTCTGTCACTTCATCTCTCTTCAGTCCAAATATTCTCAACACCCTGGTCTCAAACACCCTCAGTCTAACTTCCTCCCTTAATGTCAGAGACCAA